AAATGAGTAAGCTGAAATCAACCTTACGATTAGAGGACACAAATGCACAATCTTGGATGTATATGCAGTAAATGATGACGCACCAGTAAACAGTAAAAACGATTTTTTTAAGAAATTGAATTTAGAGATTGCAAAAGTCGGCACATCTCGAGACATCATCATCTTGGGAGACTTAAACAGCAGAACTGAAAAAAACCCATAACGCAGTTATAGGTCAATTTGGACATGACCACGTAAATGATAATGGTACCAGACTAATATCATTATGTGAACAAAATGAAATTAAAATTGCAAATGGATTTTTCAACACAGAGACATACACAAATATACACATATACTTATACACAAATACGACAAAAGACAAATATGATTGTACAAGATGTAAGAGTATTAAGAAAAGCTACCTGTAGAAGCGATCATCACATATTAAAAGCTAAGATCACATTTTGAGTAAATAAACCTAGAGAAAAAAGGAAAGAAATAAAAGGGAGAAAATAATACACAAAAGCTATAACCTAATCAGCTTAGAACAAGAAAGCGTGAGAGAATTATACAGAAATAGATTAAATCAAAAGTTGGAAAATAAAAAATTTAATAATAATGAAGAACATTACACTCACATAAAAAGGTGTATTCAGGAGACAGCAACAGAAACCATCATGAAAAAAAAGAAAGTAGCAGGCATTAACTGGTTTTATAATTTTTTTTTAAATTACACCTTAGAGAATCCCTGAGATTTTCAGTTTATCTTGCGCTACTTCTTTCACCAAAGAGAATGTATATCTGGTTTTCAATAATTTAGAAATGTTGTACAAACAGCATGCAAAATTTGGTGATGGGAAAAGAGTGTTCAATTTAGATGAGACGGCCATATCAACTATGCAAAATCTCCAACGAATAGTGGCTAAAAAGGTGACAAGCAAGTGTGCAAAGCCACAAGTGAAGAAAAAGGGACTAACGTCACCATAGTATCCATAATTTCTACATCTGGCACCACTATTCTACTAGTGATAATTTTTTCACGTGTCCATTTTAGCCACTCCTTCTGTTTGGATGACATCAGAACTATTTGTGGAAGTTACTAAGCATTTCAGCGGCAGAAAGAATCGAACGTTAGGCACAGGTTTTATGATAAGAAAAGATTTAAAAGAAGCAATAGTAGAGTTTAAACCAGTATCAGACCGCATATGTAGTATCAGGTTCAAGGGAAAATACCAAAAAATCACCCCCCTAAATATTCACGTGCCTTCAGAAGAAAAAGATAAAGATGTCAAAGAATGTTTCTATTCTAAAATAAACAGAACAATCGAAAATATACCCAGATATTATATGTAAATTATTTTAGACGATGCAAATGCCAAAATAGGGAAGAAAGACGTATTTAGACCGACAATAGGAAAATATAGTAAACACAATGAACCTAATGAGAACGGACAATTCCTGATAGATTTCGCAAGAGAAAAAAATATGATCAAAATGAGCACATACTTCGAAAGAAAAGAGATACACAAGGAAACATGGATGTCGCCAGATAGAAAGACTAAAAACCAAATAGACCACTTGCTTATCGAAAAAGAAGAACAGCAATGTATAAAGAAGATAAGAACATAAAGAGGACCAGACGCTGACTCAGTTCATTACATGGTGGGCATCAAAATTAAGCAACTGATACCAGAAAATAAAAACAAAATAAAAGAAAAGAAATGTGTAAATAACCCAATCCAATGAGCAAGAAAGAAAGAGCAAGAAATATACGAGGAAACAATGGAAAGAGAACTAAAAAAGATACAAATAGAAGGGCAAACAAAGAACAAATGGGAAAACATAAAGCAAGTAATGAACAAAGTAGCAAAAGAATGTAATAAACAACAGAATAAAAGAGGAAAGACTGGTTCGACATAGAGTGCCAAAAAGAAATAGAACTAAGAAAATCATTAAAGACAGAAATGATCACGAAAGAAACAACAGAGACAAAGAATAGATATATGGAGGAAAGACAAAAAGTAAAAAAGGTGCTGAGAGAAAAGAAGTGAAAACACATAGAAAATAAGCTATAAAAATAGCTAAGAAATAAAAAACCTATATCAAGGTGCTAGAAATGAAAAAAGAGGTTTTCAACAAAAACCCATATTCGTTAAAAACAAAGCAGGAAATAATATAAGCTGTGAAACAGAGATAGTCGAAAGAAGAAAGAGTATTTTGATGAATTACTAAATGGTAATAATAAGTCAAACCAAAGAGAATGTATGGAAGCAGAAGCAAGAATAGAATACTTAGAAGACATAGAAGATGTCACACCCAACAAAAATCAAATCGAAGAAATCATAAAAACTCTGAAAAACAATAAATGCCCTGGAAGCGATAACATAACAGCAGAGATGATGAAATATGGTGGAAAACTGCTAAATGATTGGATATACAAGAGCATAAAGGAGATATGGATAACATAACGAATACCAGAAGATTGAAAGGAAGCAATTATTTGCCCATTACACAAAAAAGAAGACAAAACAGAATGCAGTAACTACAGAGGAGTAGCGTTACTAAATACCGTATATAAAATCCTATCAAAATCCACAAAAGATAAGCTAGAAAAAAGAAGTTGAAAATATAATAGGCGAATATCAGTGCGGATTTAGATGAGAGAGAAGCACAACGGACGAAGTATTCGTAATCGGAGAATTACAAAGCAGAAAGCTATGAACACAACTTACCAACGACAGCGGTATTCATCGACTTCCAGCAAGCATACGATAGAATAAAGAGGAATGAAGAGAAAGTTGCGTAAAATGATACATCTACTTTAGAGAATACAGAAAACAGAGTCAAAGTAAACAATCATTCATCGGACAAATTCATAGTAAACGAAGAATTAGGCAGCGATCCTTTGTCATCATTACTTCTAGACATTCAATTTATGTCTAGAAAAAATAATGCGAGAAGCGAAAATCAATAGAAAAGAACTCCTATATCATAAAAGACACCAAGTTTTGGCATTTGCGGATGATGTAGTGTTGCTGGCAAAAGGAAAAAAAGAGCTACAGGAGATAGTACAGAGAATAGTAAAATCAGCGAACAAAATGGGACTTTAGATAAATGAAACTAAAACAAAATGTATGCAGTGGAAAGATGATCAGTTCAGGGATGGACAAAATTTACAGTTAAAAGTAGAAGAAAGGCAAAAATACACTTATACAAAACTACTATACAACCAATAGTAACATACTGCAGTGAGACATGGACAATGACAAAAAATGAACAAAAATTTACTTGAGATATGGGAAAGGAAAATCCTGAGGAAGATATATAGAGGAATAATAAGGGACAGTTTATGGATAAGCAGATCAAATGATGAGATAAAGGAATTATATAATCAACCCAATATAATAGGAGTCATAAAGGCACAAGACTAAGATGGCGAAGTCATCTAGAAAGGATGCCGAACACGAGGACTCCAAAAAGAGTACTAAACTACACTATAGCTTCAAAAAGAGAAAAAGACGGCCAGAAAATAGATGGAATCAAGAGGTAGAAAAAGATATGGAAAAAATTGGACTAGAAGGCCAGAAAAGAAAAATGAATAACCAGAAGGAATGGAGAAAAAACCACATATCGAGCCAAAGAAGATCGCCGTACATAAAGAAAAGCGAAAATGAAGAAAGAACAAACTTTTCAAGCCATGGGCCTCTAAAGCCTTCAGTGCTATTGTATAGATAATGTATATATATATATATATATATATATATATATATATATATATATATATATACATATATATATATATATATATATATATATATATATATATATATATTCATTCGCTACATCTGCAGTTCTGGAAAAAACCCTGCTCTATTACTTTATGACAACGTAGAAAGCCATTTGTCCCTGAAAGCTCTTTTGATATGCACAGAAAATGGGCTCTTGGATCATGCAAAACTTGAGGAAAACAGCATCAATTTATAATACAGCATCCTTCGTGTACACAGCTCATCATAAAAGCATAACGCCTTCCAATATAATTTCGGGGTTCAAAAAAGTTGGATACATCCATTTGATCGATATATTTTTACCGAAGCAGATTTTCTGTGCGCAATTGTGTAACTGATCGATCGCCTTCTGGCAGTCTGGATCATCAAACACCCAAGAAACACGTTTATATTGTGCTAGGTGAGACGCCCAATGGCTCTTTCCTACAAGTTGAAGAAGGAGCCGCTTCAAATCATGCAGAAATCAGTGCCTTGATTGAGGAGCTGGTCCAAGTCAAGCTTTCCTCTCTCCTGAAGATTTTTGTGCTTATCCAAAAGCAGGAGAATGAGAACTGTTCGAAAGTTTAGGAAGAAAGGCAAAAATCTGATAACTAGGAGCACTACAGGAAAGAAGTTCTACTTTCCATGAAGAAGGCATATAAAAGGAAATGGTTTGGACTAAAAAATCAAACATTTGCACAAACAAGGGACGATCCATCAGACGAGGACGATTAAGACGTTCAATATGTAGAGAAGGACGACGATATGGATATGGGTGAGGAATTGTTTGCTGTTCAGCCTGATCACTTTGCAGAATTGTTCAGTCTTCCTGCTTTAGATGATTATGTCTTAGTTGAATTTAAAACTAGAGCCAGTTCAAATTTCACGTTGGTCGAATCACTAAGATGAAAGATAATGAGGGCAACTATGAGGTCAAATTCCTACGATGCCGAAAATGCAACAACTTCGTAGAGAGACCTGTAGATAACATTGCCTCGGTTAACGGTACATGCATGAGGATGTTGGAAAATCAATCTGTCTTACCGTCACACCTAATTCAAAAATAATGATTGACGCATTTCTTACATAGATAAGTACATATATGTTGTTAGATAAAAATAATATGCTAGAAAAAGTCTTACTTAGGATAGCTATGCGTAAAACCAACTTTTATGTTTCATTTTGCCCCAGCCTCTGAATAATAAAGGTTAAATAAAATGTATGAAAATAAAAAACAATTTCTAAAGGATTTTACATTTCCTTATCTTGTACTTCTTGATTATTAGACATTTTCTGATTATCAGAACATTCTTGATTAATAGGCAATTCCTGATTATCAATAATTTCCTTATCATCAGGCAATTTTTGACCATTTGCCATTTCCTCACCATTCTTCAATTCGTGATCATGAGACAATTTTATTTTCTTTCTACTCGGACCATCATCATCTGTGCAGCTTAGCAGGCGCTTCCTACTTTGACCCTGTAGGTAAAATAAATTCAAATTAATTTCAAATAAATGATGATATTATATGAAAGTATATTTCATGAATTGGCGAGTATTTTGGTTTAGAGATGAAAGCTTTGACTTAAAAGGGACGCAGTGCTGAAAAAGTTAATAGCAAATTCTACCAATACTTGAAGCACTGTCAAAACAAACAAAAATACGGTTTTTTGAGTTCTTACTTTCTTCTTTTGATTACTTGTCAGGTCCGTATCATTTATAAACACATATCCCGTGTTAAAATAAAAAATGGAACCTAATATTCAGAGTCTCTTAATACACCACATGTATCGCAATTACAAGCAAATACTAATAAAACCTATTCATCAGCAGCTTCTACACAATTTCCCTCAAAACATCAAGCAGTTGTCTTCAGCGCTTTAGAAAATACGGGACTGTAAGATTACTTAATTCCTTTGGGCAACCTAATTAATCTCAAAAATATTATATTTGCGTGTACCTTGCAAACAAACAAATCGTAGATAAATTCATGCAAAACCACGGACAAATAGAAATCCAGACAAATATTTTACAAGCTAGAAGACTAATCTCACCAGCGGAACGTATTGTTTTTTCAAAAATGAAAACAATATTATTGCGACAGTTTGGCGGAAGAAATGGGTCATACAGTATTAGGACTTCCTCCTTACTATTGCATGTTCAATATGGTATATATTGCTAATAATTGCCAACAATTGGTGGTATATTTGTCAATAACTTTGTTGAAAATCAGTGTTCAAATAATTCTGACGTTTGTCATCATTATAGTCCACACGGGAGTCCTTAATGTTTTTGAATGACAAGGCTAAAGCATTAGGTATAAAACCATTTTTTGTTCCTGTATGGATTACTGTAATACGTTTTCCTTTATTTGACAGAGCTTCAAGTGACCGCAACGACCAGAAGAACGTCATGGGTGTAATCATATTTTGGAACGTCATGGGTGTAAAACCACGTCCCATCCAGATAAACAATTTCCCTTAAACTGTCTCTGTATTTATGAATTTGAATAAAAAAAATTCCTCCTCCATATTTGTAGAAAGCAGATTCCATAATCACTTGGCGTTTATCGATCGTTTTTATTTTAAAGCCATTTTTTAGAAGACATTGCCTTACTGTCTCACTGCAGCACTTGATTCATGTGTCAACTATCTTCAACATATGCATGATGGTTTCTAACGTGGAGATCATCTATTATTCATACATATTATAAATTTTTCTTCTAATGATGTCCACATCACTCCGGTCTAGTTTCCTCAGTATACCAGCGTCTTTTCTTTTTCTTCTACATATTATCGGTTGTTTTGTTATGGACCACCCTGTGCTAATTGGTCTTCGTGTTAAGGCTGCCGCTTCCTATAATATATACTGGACCTGTGGGTGTATAGAAGAATTCTGAAAATATCGTGGACAGAACACGTCACAAACAAAGAGGTTCTGAAAAGGATGTCCGAATAGCTATAAATCGAAAATAAAAGTACGATGCTGTCCTGAGGTGATTCCCCGCTGCCTTGCAGTAGGCACTTAGCGATAATAAATATTAATGACTTTCTTAGATCTCTAGTAGGACTTTACCAATATTTTTGTTTAGCATTAGCCACTATTTGTACACTTTTTTTATTATTGTTCCTCTGGTGTTGACTTTTGACTTTCTAATTATTTTCTCTAATATAATGTTGAATAGAATACAGGATCTCCCTTTCGTAGGCCCGTTCTCACATGGATTGTATCTAGTGCGTTTTGAATTCGAAATTTTCTTTGTACTTTAAGTGTTTCTTTTACTATATCAATGAGTTGAGTTGGAATATTAAACTTTTTCAAGGCATGGATCAGAAATTCTAGATGGATGCTTTCATAGGCACTCTCAAAATCAATGAAAAGATGATGTGTGTTTATATTAAATTCACTAGTCTTTTCCAAGATTTGCCTCAAGACGAAGATCTGATCTATTGTGGACTTGTGGCAGAAACCACATTGATATCCCCCAACTATTTGTTCCGCGTATGATCACAATCTGTCATACACAATATTTGACAGTATTTTATATGCCACAGTTAGTAGCGTTATTGCCCGCTAGTTTTTACATTGAAGCTGATCTCCCTTTTTATGTAGTGGGATATTTACTCCGGTATTTTAGTCTTGTGGCAGTTGTTTATTATTCCATATGTTCACTATTAGTTCGTGTATAGCATTCAATAGGGAGTCTCCGCCTTCCTTTATTAACTCTGCGCTAATGTTTTCTAAACCTGAGTACTCACCTGTACCGATAAAAATTAACGGCATAGTTTCTAAAGTTGTTATTGCATACGGTAGTATTAATTTATGTTTTACATAATTTTATTATAAATGGTCTAAGGCACGGAAAATATTTCGATCTTATACAGTAATTGATACAAATATTCCATCAGTTATTGCTAAAGAACGGGAACACTGGAACAATGTATAAGAAAGACTAATGAGTACACAATTGACTTTTCGTGGTTCATCCGATCATTTTTTCACTAAAAATAATGAAAATTTCTTAGGGTTAGTTGAACTTTTAAATTTAATTAGGATGAAATTATTTTCCCTAAGTTCATATGCTTCCGTAATTTCAAGATTTGTTTCTTCATTTTCTGAAGGCTCGTAATCATAGTCATCTTTAATAATATCTTCTAGAGTCAAATCATCGCTTCCATCTTGGTAAACTTGCTGTTCGTCAATGCTGCTTTCACTGTCACTTTCAACTACTGTTTTATTCGCCTTTTGTTTCTTTTGTGATTTTGTAGATTCCTCACCTTTACTTTTCTTATTTTGTTTTTTGTCATAGAGTATATCTTTCTTCTTCTTGCTGTTATGTTTGGGGTTCTTCGAATTTTTTCCAGTAGTAATAATTCAAAGGAGCAAGATGGCTTGGGAGGAGCACTGTTAGATTGATCTGAAACAGGCTCAATAAACTGTTTGGTCTGCGGCAGTGAAGTTTCTTCATCGCAATCTTCGAAAATATCAAGTGGATTTGTAAACATCCCATGTTCTTTATATCTAAGTAGATTTGCAGGATCTAAACGTTCTGCTGGATATCTGTTCTTATCGCATGGAAATATCCCAACCTTTTCAAAAGAATATTTAATAATTTCTGCATATAAACCTTCATTCCAAAAGCTACAAATCAAATCACTAAATTCGCTTCTAGATGGTTTTCTCTGATTAAGTCTTTGCCAGTTTATCAAAGCTTCATTCCATTTCAATTTCAATGGATCAAAGCAACATCTGTCAAGTCAGTTGTATGAGCAATTTCAATGGACCAAAGCAACATCTGTCAAGTCAGTTGTATGAGCAGGGAATTTCAATAAAGTTATATTTTCTTGCACAGCCAATTCTATCGTCGATTTATCCAAATGCGTAACATGTCCATCCAGTATGATAAGAAGTGGGCGTTCATGAACCAGTGCACAAAACTTTTGGAACCACTTTTGAAAAATCTGAACCTTTTTTCAGTCATCCATCCCTTTTCAGAGGCTGCGTAGCATGTATTCGGTAAATCGGCCTTACCTAAAAAACATATTTTTATTACTAACTTCTTCTTAGAGTGCCGTCTCCCTACGGAGGTTGGCAATCATAATGGCTATTTTTATTTTAGAACTTGCTGCTCTAAACAAATCAATCGATCTGCATTGGTACCAATCACGTAGATTCTTTAACCATGAGTTCTGCCTTCGGCCAACAGATCTTCTTCCTTGAATCTTTCCCTGTATTATCAGTCTCAAAATTTCATATTTTGGTCCCCTCATCACGTGGCCTAGGTATTCCAGTTTTCTGGTTTGTATAGTGGTGATTAGTTCTGTTTCTTTACCAACCCTCTCCAGTACTTCTTTATTTGTAATTCTATCAGTCCATGATATTCTCAATAATCTGCGGTATAACCAGAGTTCGAAGGCCTCGATTCTTTTTAAATTACATTTTTTTAATGTCCAAGTCTCAGTTCCATACAATAATATTGAAAATATATAACAGCGAATGGTACGTAGTCTGATCTCTAAATTTAGATTTTTGCACGTTAGGAATGGCTTCATTCGTATAAATGCTGATCTGGCAATCTCTATTCGTCTGTTTATTTCTACAGTATGATCATTGGTTTCATTGATCAAAGTTCCCAAATACTGATATTTTTCTACTTGTTCTATCACGTTACCATTTATTGTCAATAGGTGATGTATATTTTGTGGCCTTTTTGTAATCAGCATGTACTTCGTTTTTTTAGCGTTCATAGTATTTCCCATCTCAGCACTATTTATACTCAAGCTTTCGATAAGATGTTGTAGATCCTCTATACTCGTTGCTATGATCACAGTGTCGTCTGCATATCTTAAATTATTAATTAATGTTCCGTTAACGGTGAGTCCCGCTTCGATATTATTGAGCGTGTTTTGGAAAATTTCTTCAGAATATAAGTTAAACAAAAGTGGTGATAACACACATCCCTGTCTAACTCCTCTACAGATCCTCATTTTTTCTGAGTGTTGCCCATCAATTTGAACTATGGCACTTTGGTTCCAATATAATGTTTGCACTATATTTATGATTTTACTGTCAATGCGCTTGTTCATAAGTATTGATATTAGTTTTTCATGTCTTACTTTATCGAAAGCTTTTTCGTAGTCAACGAAGCACAAGTGTAGATCAACATTTACATCCCGACATCGCTGAATTAATATGTTGATGGCAAATAGTCCTTCTCGAGCACCCATTCCATTTCGGAACCCGAACTGTGTCTCGCTAATATCCTCCTCCAGCCTTTCGTATATTCTCTTATGTATTATTTTTAGCAGAACTTTTAAAGTATGACTCATGAGGCTCAGTATTCGATAATCAGAGCACTCTTTTGCTGCTTGTTTTTTAGGGATGGTTATAAATGCTGACTTTAGCCACTCCTGTGGTATTATTACCGTATCGTACACCGTGTTGAATAAATCT